CACTGAAAATTGTGTGCACTCTTCATTTTCCGATTCAAGAAGAGTGAGAATGAGTTTCAGCTGTCAAAATTGTGTACACTTCCTCATTTTGCGATTCAGCATGTGTGAGAATGAGTGTTAACTGTCACCCGACACCTCTTAAGTTTAAATCAGAAGAGTTTAGGCTCAGTTATTCAAATTTTTCTTATACAAATCTTTGAAAACAGTTAAAAAAAACAGCATCAAAAATCTCATCATTACGATTCCGTTCAAATTTTTTTTTTAATTATTTTTTTTATTTTTATGCAAGTTTTTTAGCTTAAGCTGTCATTTCAGGCGATTTTTTCAAAAAAAAATTTTAAGAAACAATTTTTATTAAAAAAACTCCATTTTTGGAGGTATTTTGAAATTGGTCCCGCTCATTTAAATCTTAATATTTTTTCGAAATATTTTCGTGGACTTCTTAAAATATAATAGATTTTATAATTCCAATGGAAAAATAGTACCGATTTTTTTTGTATGGGGAGCGATGTAGTCTAATGTACATATGTGTACACAATAAAAATATGAATTGGCGATGCTACACCATTAAAATAAAAGAGAGGTGCACACTACACTAGTTGTTTCCCTTTAACCAGCGCGAATAAAAAATGTATAGCCTTTCTTTGAGTTGTGAAGTTCTTCCAGCAAGCGAGCAATAGTATGTATGTACTTATGTCCATATGTGGTGTACATTTTTTTCCCTTTGGCATCTTAAAGTAATCCCCTAGTGAACTCCTTCGAACTTTATAAGAACAGTCTATAAATTTCTGCATGCAACAAGTCTTATGTATGATAAGGGGAAATCGCTTAAATACATAGTTTTTTTTAATGAATACGGTAAATTGTTCAGTTCAATTAAAGCAGATTTAGAAGTGGTGATAAATGTACGTAATCTTAATAAAAAACATTTCGTCACCATCAAGGCAAAACGCTCAATCTGGCGATTTGAAATTTTACAGAAGCAAACAAAATATCAAATTTCCGCAGGATATTGCTACAGCGCTATTTTAAAAATGCTTTTAAATCTTTTTTTTCCATTTATGAAATTTTGGTATGCGAATATATGAAAGACATTTTGCCCTGCTTATGACGACTCTTTCTTTATAAGTAATATGATTGCAGTTTGAACTTACGGATTCTGAAACCGATTCCTCATCGGATTCGGAAAGATCTGGTGGTTGACGGGATATCTCCGTGTCTGTATCCGAGTTTTCGCTGGGTCGTTTCTGTCTAGTGCCAGACGAGGCCAACGATAGATTGGACGATGTTGACGATGAGGCGGATCGAGAATTGGCGGCTATAGCGGTGGGTATACCAACAGCAGCTGCAGCATCCGCAGCGGAAGCTTTCAGCTTTTGCTTAATTGCAGCAACTGCTCCAACGCGCGACGTTGCCCCGGTATTATTATTGCTGTTATTACCGCTGCTGCCGCTACCGCCATTTGTTTTTGCGGGAACTGTGGCATTCTGTGAGGAGCTCACTAATAGTGA